CTGTACATATGTTGGATTTTTTTTCTTAAAATTCAAAGTTAAGGTAAAACTCAATATGGAGGTGCTCCTAATTAAAGTAGGCTTATACTAAGAAAAATAAATTTACTTCCGGTTTACTGGTTTACTATTTCTTAATGCATTACAAGGAAATTAGTCGAAGGACCAGTTTAAAATCTTTTCACAAAATAGCGTCTTGTCAAAATCGAAACATTGAAAGAATTTAGTATTTCCATCGATTTTGTTTATTAAACAGAGTAAAACCATGTCGATCTATAATAAAGCAGATGAAATTGATAATCGGCGGTACTGAGAAATGCTTGCAAACTTTTTGCTCAAATAAGTACGATGATTTTTACTAGTTCACATTTTTGAAAGATTTGAATCAACATATGAATCGATCTTTTAATCGTTCAATCCGGATTGAGGAGAATTATGATATCGAAATAAATATCATCATAAAGAAGAAATAAGTAGAGAAACACACCCAAGCCAATTCTGGACTTTATACATCCACTTCTTGTATTCAATCATTTACGAGACCATGACGTCATTCAAAAAAGTGAACAGGGGGCATGGCGTCATTTATTAGGACAGAAAAAGGACATGGCGTCTATCCATGCTAAACATGCCTGGGGGAAACACTACTCCAATAAGAAGTGATCTGACGATTTTAACCATGTAACTAATTGTAGATCATGTCTTGGTGATCCGTTTTGTTTATCTAAGTTTCTATCTATCTATTATAGTTTTTCAAATATAAGGCAAACACGGTTATTATAATAAAAATCGATATTTGAGCAATAACTCGAGCTCAATTAAGGAGTGAACTGACGATGTCAGCCATTAGACTCATTTGTAGATGATATCATTCTGACCGTGTTTGCTTATTTAAGGTTTTATCTATCTATAGGATTTTGTCAGATATAAGGAAAAAAGTGTATATGATAAATATCGTCCTTAAAGACAAATAACTCTAATAACATGAATTAGTAATGAAATGACGATTTCGGTCAGTACATTTATTTGTAGATCTTGTCATGCTGATAATTTTTTGTTTATTTAAGCTCCTATTTATCTATTATAGCTTTTTAGATTTTAGGGAAAAACACAAAAAAGACGAAAGAAACTTCATTAAAGGGCAGTAACTCCTATACGGAGTCGTCCGCCGATTTTTATCATTAGACTTATTAGAAGATCTGGTCTTACTGGCACTTTTTGCTTCTTTAAGTTCTATCTGTCTAATGTAGCTTTTCATTTATATGCCAAAATCACAAAAATATTGATAAAGATCGTCATTAAAGGGCAATCACTCCAATAATAGTGAGTCAATGGACGATTTCGGTCATTTTAAATTGTTGTAGATCATGTCTTACACATCAGATTAGCTCTATCTATAATTATTTCAAGATAATTGGCAAAACTGAAAAACAATGGTAAAATGGTCATTTAAAGGGCTTTAACTTCTATAAGAAGTCGTATCACTGTTTTGGTATTAATGTACAATAGGTATATCTCATCATTGAGAACATTTTGTCTGTATGTTAGATTTTCTCTATCTATAGCGGTTTTCAAGATAAAACTTTCATTTTACCCCTATTTTAGTTTTAAGCCATGTCGGCGGCCATGTTGGCGGGAAAGGTTGATCATCGGAAACACCTATAAACCACATATCCTAATGCTGATTGTTGCCAGGTTAGGTTAAATTTGTTCCAGTAGCTTCAGAGGAGATGATATATATAAAAGTTAACGACGACGGACACCAAGTGATGGGATAAGCTCACATTACTCTTCGGGTCAGGTGATCTAAAAATGATTTTTATATCCGGTTATGAATCTGAAAAAGCTTGAAGGAAGACAGTTTCGAATTGTTAGAGACACTTTCTTGATTAATGTTTATATTTCCTCAACAATATTGACGTGGAACAAATGACCAATATATTATCAGAAATAGGGGGTGCACAAAATTAAAATTATAATATTTAAGCATATAAACTTAGCCTATCATTGAAAGTCAACGAATCCTTACTGACGATGCAGGGCCAACTAACATCCATGGGAATATGAAATGCCAATGCTTATAAAACTGCGTACCACATACTGTTGACTGATCATAAGTGGTTTCCTTGAAATTATCCTCAACACAAACTTGTAAACTATGTAAAAGTTTCAATGAACCATGATGAAGGGGTTGGACCATATAATCTCTATGGATATGAGACTTGTAGATGCCCCTACAACTGCTTACCAAATATCATTGACTTAACATAAGTTGTTAATCTCAAACTGATCTAATGACAAACATTACCATGTAATTAATGAAAAGCATGCAAAGACAAGAAACCATATCTGAAAAGGGATCAAAACAATCTCCATGGAAATGAAATATTCCAATGTTAATACATCGAAATTCCAAATAGCATTGACTAACCACTTATAGTTCCCCTTAATCTGAATAAATCACAAAATAATACATGTAAGGGGGTGGGGCAAAATAATCTCCATGAAAATGAGATTTGAAATGCGTTTACAGCAACATCATTAATATTATTGACTGACCTACACTAATAGTTCCCCGTAAACTGACCTAATCACAAACTTATACATGTAAACATTAAAAGTTTCAAAGTCATTAAACCATGACTGAGTTGCGAGGCCGAAGAAATGAGACTTGCTTATGCTAATACAACAGCATGCCAAATATCATTGACCTATCACTAATGATAATAATAGTTCTCCATAAACGTGACCTATTCACAAAAGAGGGGCAAAAGATAACAAAGAGACATTCAAACTCATAAATCGAAAATAAACCTGAAACGCCAGCAAACTATCAACAAAGTAATACATTTTGACGCCGACGACGCCATCGCCGGTAACAACACGCCTAATAAATGTGTATTCGAAATCAACAGCCGATTTATGTGTATTTTTTCAACCTCGTGTTAGACTCTGCCCATATACCAGAACAATGGCTAACATGATAAATAACGATTTTTTATCGACAAAGAAAGGAGATGATATAAACCCTAAAACTATCGAGCTATCACAATAGTTAACTATACTAAATAATAGTACGACTTAATAGGTTTCCAGAGGACAGGCATCTGGTGAAAGAAAACAAATTGTGAAGGCTCATCTACAATTGACTGTATATTTTTTTAAAATTCTTTCTTTAAAATACTTTGGTAAAAGAAAAAAGAAACTTTCTTGTGTTTGACTTTGAGAAGGGATTTGATACAATACATTGCATATGCAGGGCATAAAACGTTTCTAAACATAATTTCTACTTAAGTATAAAACAAGGAAATGTGGTATGATTGCCAATGAGATAACTATCCATCAAAGTTCAAATGAAGTGGATGGTATTTATAGGCAACCGTATGGCGTTTAACAATGAGAGAAACCCTTATAGTCGGCTATAAAAACATTTCATTTGAAAAAACTAACGGCAATAATTTATAACAAAACTATTTAAGAAAGACAAATTTGACAGACATGAATCAACAACAACAGACATGACAGAAGGCAGTCGAATATTCATGATTTATCAGAATCACGTTTTTCATCTTTTTTTTTATATTTGCTGGGATTGTTTACAGTATGTCATTACAACTTAATTAGGCTTTAATCGTATTAACTATATAAAAAAGGTTTGACTGTTAAATATACAATGCACTCTCACCTGATGTAGATATATTTGTTTTTATTGTTCAGTAATGAACTAAAGTCTACTGACATCTAGATAAGGTGCAATATTGACATACATCCAGTTATAGAAATCCAAGTAAAATCTAGGTTCACATTTTGAATAAATCCCACAATTCCAAATGAATCCAAATATAAAATTTCACTTTTGAAATCAAAATGTTATAATCCTATTACAAAACACTTGGTTCACATTCAGGTAAATATTTAATTACACACAAGTAATGAGGTAACGGAGTCAACGTCAGATTATTTTCTGTGAATAGATAATTATAAACAAAATAAAATCATAAATATATACACTAGATCTAGTTAACAAAATTCAATATATCCTTTTACGATTATCACTTGAACTCTGTAAAATTATTTTACAAATAATCATGTTATAAAGATCATAAATCTAAAATGTACTAGTGGAGTTGGTGGATTTAGTTCATTGATCACAATGAAAATCGACCCATTTATCATATTGTTTACGACCAATAAATGCTATAAAATGCGTTGCCATATCTATATGTCTTTGAACAAGGAAATGAAATAATTTGTGTTTTGTATACATGGAATGAAATTTTGTTACAATGCTTGATTGTTCATATCTTCACAACAACTTAATAAATCACGGAACTATATTTGTACCCTACATGACATGCACTGTTCTGTTGCACAGAGCAACAAAAAGGGATATATATCTAATGCTACTGGGGTGTCATTAACATAACATGTGTTAAATGTATGCACAATGTATGCATAATGATTTTTTTTATTTTCATTTTTTTTTTTTTTTTTTTATTTATATTTTTTACATTTTAAGTCTTATTTCATTTACAAAGAAATTGAAATCATGACACTTGATATTTAAAATATTAAGAAATAAACTAGGAAAACACTTGAATTTTTAAAACAGAATATATGTAGAAGGTTGTGCCAGGTCAATAAAGGTCAAAAGTTCACTCGAGGCGATAAAACTGACCACTACATAATTGTACAAATGAAAAAAAAATGGATGAAGCTTTTGCTCATATCGAAATTAAAAAAAAATATTTCATTTTAGATTTCAAGGGGCAAAACAAGTTGCCATATCATACAATCTCATTCTTCTTTCTAAAATAAAATGTAAAACTGGAATGCTACCAACTTATGTTTCCTTTAATAAACCCAAATATATTGATATCAAATACATCTAATAAACGCTTCTGAAATACTGTTGTTCTATATAATGTCTTATAAAACATTTAAAAGCATCGAAATTAATAAATAGGATGAAGCACAATGATGAAATTCCTTGTAATAGTTACCTCTTAATGAGACAATTTGCTTCATATATTTTCTTCAGCATAACAACATCGTTTCTTCTTTTCCAGTACTATTCTTTATTATTTCTGCAGTTGTTGACTTCGATACTATATATTCTTAGTTTCTGGCAACATTTTTATTTTCCAGATCACTTTCTTCCATTTGCGTTTTTTTTTTTTTAATTTTGCTTTCAATTTCTGCAGCAGTTTTTTTTCCACTGGTGTCGTTTTCGTTCGCATCTTGTTCTTCAGTGGTACCAATTACATTCGTTTCGTTTCTTTAGCAAATTCATTTTACCCTTGAATTATTTTCATTAATTTCCGTGAAAACAGCTTTTACTTTGTTTCTCAATCTATTCCTCTAATTTTACATTTTTCTTCGTTATTGTAATCATATGTTTCACCAGAAAAGACAAGGTGTCCTTTGGGCAGTAACTTCGCCTTCGACCTTTCCAGGAACGTAACGATGGGACATATTTAACTGTCAGAAAAGACTACCTAAAACAAAAGGTTTCTTTTATTTATTATTTCGGTCGAGGAAAATTGGTGCCTAGAAATGAATAAAGAGTCAATGTGATTTTTACTTTCCAGAGCACCTGCCTTCACACCCAGTTTTTGTTGGGGTTCGTGTTGATCAGTCTTAAGTTTTCTATGTTGTGTTTTGTGTACTATTGTTTGTTGGTCTTTTTTTTTAAACCATTGAATTGTCACTTTATTTTTGAATTATGAGTTTGAAGGTCTTTCTGGTATTTTCTTGTTTTTAAAAGCTTCTCCAATATATTTTTTATGTGTGGCATCACATTTATCGCAGGGTATAATTACAATCTGTAAAACAAATTTATGTTTATCTTTTCAAATGCAACAGTGTTAGTATTGACTTGATCTTTTAAATATAAAAAGTAACATTTGTTTACAAATTCTTATGGAATTGGTTTGAACAACATGTTGTTAGACCCCCATTTACAATTTCTCATTGCACTTCTTCTGACAATAACATAAGTAATGTAAATATAATAGTTTTATATCTTTTATGAATATTCCTTGACTAATGTTTAAATATTAATGTATAAGAGTTAATAAGCTGACATGTCTCGCCAGCTATAATGAGTACTTCTATGGCCAAGACCTTTGAAACATAACATTATTAATGATCCAAATAAACAAGTTAATGACTAAACAAAAGTAAAGGTTTTTACAAGACATTGAGCTAGATCATGAGCCGACAAGCCTTTGCTCTAACTCTTTAATACCATGTTGCTTGCAAAAAAGCACAAATTCCAGTTTTTTCTTTAGTTTGATATGTCCTGAATTAATTAAATAACACCATTCATTTCATGCAGCTGCTCCCGCCAAACTACCACGACACCACCAATGCTAGTAATCTTAACTACTGTCTCCAATCATTTTTGAGAACATTAAATGTAGAATTGTACATTGAGGAGAAAATTCAGTATATTCTTTCACTACGACTTATTGTTTTAAAGCGACTTCTGAAATTTTAATATATTTAACTACTTTTTTTAATTTCCCTAAATGTAAATAGTCTTATAATCAACTATTGATTACTATCAACTTACTATCTCTTAAAATGTATTGATTTTTTTTTATTTTGGAGCTAGTTTAAACTTGTTCAAGCATTTTAATCTATCCTTCAAAATATTTCTATAGAAAAAACTTAACTTATAAATCTTTTAATTTCAAGGTCTTTGAACTGAAAACAATCTAAACGGATATTGTTATTTGATTGCTAATAAACCGACTACATTTCTAAGAACTTATTAAATCAGAAAGAGAATATCAAGCTAAACATTAGGTCAACAGTTTCCATTAAAATATTATACATTTACTTTAATTGTTATAGTGTTATGTAATAAACTTGAAGGAAGTGAAGTTATGTCTTTCAAAAAAGTTGAGCTGAAGTCAGTTGTCGATTTTGTAAATGGAATTCTCAGTCGTGAATTATTGTATGTTTCTTTTTAATGAGAATGGTTAAGTGGAATGTTTGTGAATTTTGAATTCATTTTGGATTAATCATGTTAATCATGTTAATAGAGTAGAAATATGTATATAACTTAACACATCCTGGCTCTGTCATGTTAGACAACGTATTTTGTGAAATGGACCTTTTGTAAAGGTAATCAAAATAACCACAACTTAATTACCTGAATAATTGTAAAATATTTTCAGCAATTAACTCTAAGCAGCAACACAAAATTAAGTGCTACTGAAAAAGTAAATGTACAATTATGACAAGGTCAATGAACTAAAGGAACTTGGCGTATAAAATTAATACTTTCAAATATATATGTCACGGAATTGTAATTAAGTATAATAAAATTGTGTATTCTGGCACCGGACACCTTCTATTTCATAATGTATTTAAACATCGATGTTACTTCCTAATAATGTAGATGGAGATATGACTCCGATATAAAATCTTTAAAAAGAAAACCAACACGAATACGAAAGTTAGCATGCGCAATGACATTATGACGATTTTCATTCTTCTGTTTGAATTTCATATCACAGATATGAAAATGTAAATAATCATTTTCCTATATATAAGCACGCAGAATTATTCAATGAAATCGGTCATCTAGCTGGACTTTCTAGTGTCAGTTTTCAGGTGATATTCCTTTCAATAACTGAGCACAAGTATAATTGGTCTCCAGTTGAAGTCACACTATAGGTCGCATTCATTCAGATCTATATGAGATTGATAACTTATTGTTTTGTTAGACTTCCTGTATAAAGGTCAACTAAGGTGACTATTCTACCTTGTAAACACCCATAAATTAAAGTATGTGATCTGCTGAATATCTTTATATGTTATAGCACAATACCAACGATAACAAATTAAAGTATTGTCTTACTTAAAATACAACATCGCATATGATGTTTTAAACATAATCAATTACTTACCCTCGTTTATATCAAACACACATGAGTATGAAGGTAAACTCAGGTAAAAACTATCACACCAGTGGCCACGTTAACAACGCATGTAGATACCTGTTTATATTAGACCTTTGAGGAATATACCTACGATTAGTATTACACTCGTATTTACAGGTAGCATTTAAATCTTAGGGCGTTTCAAAGTGTAAATATAAAACGTTGGTTCATAACAAATACTAACTCATGTGATGTGTTTCTATAGCTTAACAACTGGATTTCAAAGAAATATTTAGAAAAAATGGCATCTTGGCAGATCGATGTAAAATATCAAATACAAATATGAAGACCAAACCAACAATGGAACTATCTTACAATGGTGTCATGTGTATCGTATTTGTTATGTTAAATTGTAAAAATTCCTACCATTTATTGATTTCAGATAAGAGTATGGTAACAATAAAACAGTCTTTAAAATATAAATAAAATATTTTCCACATTTGATTAGTATAACAACATGTGTTGTCACATACTTGTGTTTTGTATGTCAAATTTTAATAATCAAGTGTGCAAGGACGCATTCTAGTTTGAAATAGCCGGTGAACATGCCACTAAAAAATATAACATTCTCTTTTGTCTGCTGCGCTTATGTGGAGACTGTTTTATATTGAATTAGTCATATAGATACTTCATGAGTCCAAAAAAAGTAACAAAGAAGGACGTGTGACTCTCATAAGGCACACTTGCAAATGCAGTTCTAAATATATGCCGCATATTTGATTTTGTCATTTCTTAACTCCCACGACCAAACTGAAATTTTAATGATTAAAATGAACATAAAATTTTATGGAATACTTATTTTATCAATTTAATGTAAGACAAGGTCAATACTTCAGAATATCCGTTAGAATTTTAGTAAGGATACCAAATATGCAGTGAATAAAATTAGCGTATGTTTGGCCTTGTGAGTCTCATCCTGTAACACTGGTATATATATGAACATATGGAATTGGACGCGTCAGTGTTCTTTGTATATGAGGAGGTGACAGACGAACACACTATTAAAAAAAGGAAAAAAAACGAATTGCACTGGTTCATGTATTTAGCTTTATAGACACAAATTTTCAAAAACGATGGGAACAAAGTTGTATCAAAGCTAAAGGAACTCAGGAAATCAAGATGAAATGACAAGATAACTGTTGAGGGACTTCCTTTTAAAGAGTTACATAAAGAAATTAGCATTTCATTTTATATTAATTTAACATAAATGTTTGGTTTTTATATTTTGTACTTACAATTATAAAGATTGCCACTTTTAAAACATAAATGTTACGAACATGAAAGTACAATATTTAGTTAATCACAAAACAAATTGATAGATTTTGATGTTTGTTTATCGCAACTTTAAAAAATTGACTTTTCATGATGAATTGTAATTGATTAATCAAAAGTCTATTTCATATAAAATATCATAATAAATAAAGCAACAATAAAACTGTAACGTTCACACCTACCAACATACAGTTACACGCCAGATCTATGGAAAGACTCCCTATTTTACTTTAAACGTTCCAAATTGGAAACCTGTCCTTTTGAACCGATCACCTGCAAGAGAAGTTAAAATCTTCCTTTTTGAAAAATACCACACAATGTACACTGGTTTTTCTTATAACATTTGTTTTGATAGTATTACTTGATTTATTTCACTTGACTGGGCGGGGTTATATCGGTTCGCTTATAAGAGACCAGTCCATCTATAGACAGGTGTTTTTGGATAAACTCATCAATGAAGTGTCCAGTTATCGTCATTGATCCGGTTAAATATGTAAACACTATACAGTCCTTGGATGGTGTAAACTTCCCACTAACACCATACACCATTAAATCATTCACCATACACCATTACACCATACACCCTGTGCCTTTACACCATACACGTTACACCTTTGCACCATACACATTACACATTACACCATAATGCAATTTAATTTCAAAGAAAGCGTGCGACTACAAAATTATTTATTTATTCTAAAAAACGAATTTTGATCACAATATTGTAAATTAATGTATATAATAAAAAATCAGTTTTAAATGTCGTACACCATTCATTCACACCATTCCCGATCGCACGTTACACCATTACACCATTCCCCTTACACCATACACCATAGCACCATACACCTTCTACCATTGCACCATATGCCATACACCATTACATTTTTGGGAAGTTTACACCATCCAAGGGCTGTATGTGTATTTGCAAACTAAAGTAAAGAGTGAGACACAGTCGTTGATTTTCTTTGTAAAACGGAGTTTAATAACATGTTATAAATGCCAGATTTTGGAAACTGAGGATAAGAAAGTATATTTATGACGACGTCAGTTGCAAACTATGCATCCGTCGTAATTATGTAACGTTTTGATGTACTGTTTTTCTTCCTTTTATTCCGAATGATATTGTGTTGTTAGGGTGGGGGTACGGTTGGAAGGGCAGGGCAGGGGGGTAAGTTGCAAATGGTACTTCGACCTTATTGATTTCCTTTATTTTAAACTACTCTATTCGTCTCTTATCAAACACTGAGTTCTTTGTATATCCGTTGGGTGACACTGATAGGTGATTAGAAATTAATAATAGTTATAACGGCAATCATCCTTATCACACACATCTTCAAATAGACTGTCCTTATGCAAATTAAAACGTAGGCTCCGCCCGACCCTTTGAAATAACATTGGTAATATGTCATTAAATAATTTGCACTGTACAATTCTTATCGAAATTGTAAAAATGGTATTTTTGGTCACCAAGAACGTTATTTTAACTTATATATTCCATATATACAGATATACCGAGTAGACAATTAGATTACATCTACTTTTGCTAATTAATGTTCAATGCATCTTTCTACTTTGATGATGTGGGGCGGCACTCCAATACTGTTGTGGTAGAGTTGAGATTCTTACACATTCAGCACCCCATGCAACCTCTTCACATACTTGGATATAAAAAAAAAATCATACCATTTGATTCATTGCTTGACAAAAAAATTACCTTTAGTTTTTTACCCTATTTTATTGACAGTAAAAAAAAAACATTTTCAAATATCTGACGCTTCTAATAAGGAGGATGAGGATGACACTTCAATCCGTTTGGGGTAAGGGTGAGCTGCACCTAGCGAACCCTATTCATATTGTTGGATATAAGAAATGTCATACCCTTTCACAAGTTGTTGACAAAAGTAGACCTATAGCTTCATTACGCTATTTTGTTGAAAGTTAAAATAGATTTCTCAAACATCTGATACTTTCTATTCAATATAACAAATATTAGACATTTCAATTACTTATTATATAACCAATCTATTTAATCTTAATATCTAAACCGTATATGTTATAAAGCGTGAAATATAGTAAACTATTCCAGTGACATGACCCTACCATCCATATTATATGCCGCCGAGAGTTTGAACCTGAATACAAAACTTTCAGGGAAAAAGATTTTCACGCATAATCTCCATCTTTGTAGCTCCAAAATGAGGGCAGGTATGATGAATGTATAAATGTAGCTTATTCAAATACATCCTACAGCTACCGTAGAATATAATGTTTATCAATGTGTATAGGTGCCTCAGTGGCCAAGTGGACTAAGTAAATAGTTAAATATACTAACAGATGTATTGAACTTATCACCTTATCTAGTATATTTAATGACTCTACTATTTAAAACGTTGTTGATAACACAGAGCCACCTAATATTTCGTTTACATAGACAGAAACAAACAGCAGAAGATTAATATTTAATTATACGTCAGTTACATCAGATGTGAGTGAAGAAAATAATGATCCTCTAATTTGAGCATGTTGAGACTGTTGCAAAGAAAAGATCGTCCTCCATTTAAAATAAAATTGAAAACAGTGTCTTCAGGTCATAAAAGACGCTCTTTCAGCGTGTTGTAATAAATGGCGTAAACGGAAAAAATCTGAAATAAACACTCTCTAGTCTTACTGAACTAAATGTATGCATGAATGTTATTGATATTCAAAAAAAAAAATAGATAAATGAAAGAGTACATTAATCTAGAATAAGAATCAAACATCAAATACTCGCGAAGTGGTTTGTGGTTTGTACCGTTCTACAAAGCAATGGTAGTATGATGAAAATGCTAACGGAAATACTTAAGAATGAAGTTTTAAATTCTTCTTCATTCCAGGATGACGTTCCACATGTCTAAAATTGATTGTCGGATTTAAAAATCTATTTTAATCACTTATCTAGTAGAATAAAATATTAATGTTAATGATTATATGCATATTTCTTACGACCAAACATAATATTATTTTGCTTGCGAATTTTCCTTTTAAATTAACTTAGAGGTTATAAAAGCAAAACTGTAATTCGATCTTTGAGTATTGTTTTCATTAGTCTAAATATTGATTTTGATAACAGGAAAATAAAATCTAACTTAATATTATAGTTATATATTTCAAGGAGTATGATTGGTTAAAAGCAACCGCATGGTGACCGTGTATATTCCATATAAGTTAGTAGGGTTCCATATTGGGTAAGTAGGCGGTGCTTATTCCAATACAGGGTTAGTAGTGGTGTTACGTCCCTTTATAAAAACAACGCGGTGTCGAGGAAACATCTTTAAAGTTTCAACAGACGAAGAAAATGATGATGAACTATTGGAATAAATTCATAGAGCACATTTAAAGCTAACAAGTCTATATTGTTGGCATTTGTTTTTGTATAGACCAAAGGAATTAGGTTCTTGGTACTAACGGTATTGAAGACTTGATCACTTTGATAGGCCACTAGTCTAAATACCACATGTTAGGATAGTCGGTAAGATAAATTCGTTACACAGTATGCTAGTGACCTAATACGATATATATGGGGTCAGTAAATTACACATAGGGTAAGAACTTCGCTAGCACACTATGTCACTAATATTGTACATAATCACTCTAAATATCAGCACAACAATGTTAAATCTGTATGTACTTTCATGGCTTTTCAATATGTTGATACCTGTAAATTGGCATTGCACATGGTCATTTTTTTAATGTTAATGACGTCTTCACACTAAATCCATTGGATATGTACTGATTAAGTTTTTAATCTTAGATCATGATTTTTTCATTAGTTTTTATAGGCTTTGAACAATCTGCCAGTGACTCCCATATTTATACTCAGTGTCTTTTTGTTGTCGAGAAGAACACATATTCTGCAACGTCCGGTCTGTGTTTCTGTCGGATATTTTTCTCCTTTGTGACGATTTGATGAATTAAACCATTTTAATCAGATGTTTATAGTTTGCTCTTAGTGTGTACTGTTACACTACTGTCCCATGTACGGGGGATGGTATTGCGCCAAGAAACTAGTTTAATCCCGCCATATTCTGTAGGTGCCTGTCCGAAGTCAAGAGCCTATAATTAAGTGGTTGTCGTTTGTTGCTGTGTACCCTATTTTTTTTTTCATTGTTTTCTTCATAAATCAGACCGATAGTTTTTTCTCGTTTGAATTGTTTTACATTTTCCATGTCACTGCCTGTTATAGATTATTACGCAGTATGGGTTTTGCTCATTGTTGAAGGTTGTACCCTGACATAGAATTGATCACTTCTATTTGGTCTTTCGTGGTGAATTGTATAACAATGCCATAGCAAAAACGAAAAACGAGCAAAGACAAATAACAGTATACAAAACACAACATAGAAAAAAAAACCAGACCGAGAAACACGAACCTCTGCATAAACGATATTAAACATCAAGGAGAAGTGTTAATTTTTAGCGTATATCATGTTGATTTTAGTCAATATAAATGTCATATGGGAAGGTAGGGGGTCATACTATCCTCCCAAAAAAATCATATACCGTGTTACATATAATTCATTTAACATCATAGATAAATGTAAGCTTTACTGCACTAAAATTGTCGAATTTCTATGCAAATAAACTCATCATAGATACCAGGATTTAAATTTTGCACCTACGCCAGACGCGCGTTTCGTCTACAAAAGACTCATCAGTGACGCTCGAACCCTAAACAAGTTAAAAAGGCTAAATAAAGTACGAAGTTGAAGAGCATTGAGAACCAAAATTCCTAAAAGTTTTGCCAAATACAGCTAAGATAATCTTTTCCTGAGGTAGAAAAGCCTTAGTATTTCAAAAATTCTAAGTTTTGTAAACAGTTAATTTATAAATATTACCATATCAATGATAATTCATGTCAACACAGAAGTGCTGACTACTGGACTGGTGATACCCTCGCGGAATAAAAACTCCACCAGCAGTGGCATCGACCCAGTTGTTGTAAATAAACTCATCATAGATACCAGGATTTAAATTTTGCACCTACACCAGACGCGCGTTTCGTCTACAAAAGACTCATCAGTGACGCTCGAACTCAAAAAAGTTAAAAAGGCCAAATAAAGTACGTAGTTGAAGAGCATTGAGAACCAAAATTCCTAAAAGTTTTGCCAAATACAGCTAAGGTAATCTATTCCTGAGGTAGAAAAGCCTTAGTATTTTCATTTTCATGGGTCCTTAATATCTTTATCTTGCATGCAACTAATTACAGGACTGGTGTAAAATTAGAGAACAGACGGGTGTTTTCTTCCGTTGTAAGAACGTGTTTTGAAAATTTAGTCATATATTTGATTGTGTTATAAAATTTCTTTAAACTAATTTTCTAAAAGATTATTCTTTGAATGTTTCTGTTATTTATCTAACCTAAAACCGCCTTTGAAGAGGCCTAAAATGTTTGTAATGTTCCTTGATATAAATATTTCTGTTTCGTTTTTCCCTTCCATTTATTAGCGGAACCTGTCGCTAATGACATGATAATTCAGTAGAGTGTTTCATATTAAAATGTATGTTAACATTATTAGGCATTGTTTTCCCTAATGGGAATTTATTTGTTAAAGTATACATCTGCAAGAAGGGGATGTTGGATTTTTCTAAAACAATTTCTACTCAACAGCGGTCGATTGTATAGATGAGCTTATCAGAGTGGTAGTTATATATGCTGTTTATAAGTACGATATTATTTAGGCACGCGGCTGTGTAATATTAGTATTAATTTTATGATTCATATTTTGGTGAACATTTTCTTTACTCTAATGAAGATCGCTATCAATAGAACAATAAACTCATCGGATACATTTTGTCTCGGTAGTTTTCTTTATCATCATTATCGATCTGCAACGACTAACATCCACTTTCTGCAATTGGTTAAATTCTACGTCGGTTGTCTACCTTTCCATGAATTATCAACCTCCGTGATTTCATAATGATTAATAAAAAAAACCAAAAGAATCCTCCCCCATTATAAATTATGAACTTCAAGGAGCTCTACGTGTACATTTTGGTTCAGGGGTACTGCTTGCATTGAAAACACTTTTTTATATATATGGACAACGGGGCTTTTTATAGCATGCTATGCGATACACTTTTGCTCATTATTTCAGGCTGTACGGTGACTTATATTTGCTACTGTGTACGTCATTTGGTTACTGTTGGACAGTTGTTGTATAGGCAATCATAATACTTTATCTTATTTTTATATGTGTTGCAGTAATATCACGTGCTGTTTTGGTTATTTTTAACATTTGACACACAGTTTTTATTATCAGTTGTATGCGTAAACAGATTCTACAACATTCATCTATAACGACATTCACCTTTAACAGGTAAGCGATAAAATTTACAGCATCAGCAATGGTTATGGTGATCTGAATATGTACGGTTAAAAAATAGGAAATGGATACGATTTACAACTTCCGTGTGTTCACATTTACCATTGTATAGTTAAACTATTGTAAATAAAACACATAATTAAGTATGTAACATGCACTGGGTTAAATTACATAGATATAACCCTTTTTTTCGTCCCCGATGTGTTTGCAAACTATTTGTCTGTCATGCAAGTCATAATGAGGGACAAATTATAAGCTTTATTAAAGTTTATAATTGTTGATATTGATGTTTTTTTGTGCAAATTTTCTTATATATATTTATATTTGTGATTATTTTTATTTCTTATAATCATATCGATGCACCTCACTAGTCATTTTTTGGCAACTGATCTGCATTCTCAATTAAAATGAAGAAGGTGACCGAGTGATGGTCCGGTGCATCATTTAAAATCCGATGTAACTTACACAACGTATGACATATATTTCTGGAATATTCTTCTTGATTGCCTGGGGTTTGGAAACCAAATTGATATGTAGATATGACAATTGGGAACATCGAGAATAACCTAAACAGAGCAGTCAAATTCTCCAAGGTCAACTCTGTTCTGGGTAGTTACAACTTATATTGCGTCAAACGGATTTATTACTTTTCTTGACGTAAAGGACAAAACATTTCATTATATTATACAAAAAGATTTTAGATATACAATTGAAGACAATGAATCAAATAATATGAATTTATTCAGTAAACTTCAGTTACAGTTGAAGTCAAAACTACCTTTCGATAAAAAAAGAAAACATAAATCATAATAACAAAAAAAGTGTCTTGTTCTTCAACAATCCACGTTTATATCTGTCAAAAACAATTTTCAGTTGATAAGTTTTTTTGGTGATCGTCTTTAAACATGACTTCTTTCCACGTATAACTTCGTTTACTAAACTTTCCTTACCTAGGAAACACTAATCAAAACACAAAAGTTAGTTTTACAAAAACAACATCAAAAGACTTATTTCCTTCCATCCTCGACTGCGGTCTCGACCTGTAATAAGTCCGTGTACAAGAACCCATTCTGACTAACCATGTACAATGTATGTTGACTCGCCAGTTGGTGACTCAGGTTGTATTTCTCTTCCTGCAAAAGGCACAATATTGCTATTCTACTAATATCATCATTATATAAGGCATCCATTAAGATTAATAATAGGATACGGTTATTAAATGGTAATGGGGCAACTGGTCATGTAATTGGAAAGCCTTCTTCCATCAGGAAAGACTCACATTTTATAAAATAAAAACGGAAGAATTGCTCAAAGTTGGACATGAACAAATTCGTAAGTTATTGAATGGAAAACTGAGGTCCGCCTGTAATTGCGCCTGTAAGGATAAAAGTGTTATTGTGACTGTCAAAAACCAAAGTCATGTATCATTATCAGTAATATATGTATAAATCAAAATTTACATTGTTTCGAGAAACTTTATTTTTATCACTTGAAAGATTTTTTCCAAATTTTTTATGTCTAAAAATATTATTCAGTATGTATGTTAAGGTATACTTCAACACAAATAGTCCATTTATCGCATTATCAATTGAATAAAATAAATTAAGAAACAAATTCTAAATTCTGCTCTTGGTACTATCTGTTGATCACGAACAAGCTTATGTCCAAAATTACACAAATTCAAGATTTGACAAAGTTATTGATGTGCAAAAAGATTTAAACCTGGAAAGTATATAAACGTTAACTTAAATAAATCAATTTATCAGTTAGAAAAGGTAAAAATACACCAATTCTTTTATATTTAGCTGTTGACTTTGTTTTTTCATCCAAATCTTCCGCAAACGTTTTATGATATTCCATGAAGGTTTCACAAGGTTAATGGTGTCTAACAGAACATCAGACTGACCTTAATCTAGACGACACCGATTATTCTCTCAGACGAGAAAAAACAGGAGTAAAAAAAGACTGGTCATATTTGATGTGTTTTCTCTAACTTTTATAGTTTAAAAATTCATCAAGGGTTCCACGAAATCAAGTTTCCCGACTGCGATTGCTGCTGTTAGTGTAAAAAGTGCAAAAAGGACTGGCAAAGAATTCGTTTATTTATCAGTTATATACACTAGAGGTTCTAAAAGTATTTGTGCATCTTCAACAATGGACAATCTCCAGCATTGTAGACTAGAATATAACTCATGACAAACATCACCTTTTTTTTTTATTATATATTGCTGATCATTTATTCTGCTTACAACTTCTATCTTCATTAGTTTTTACCCGAACACAAAAAAAGGTGAAAATGTTCATTTTAGGCAATATTTTTGATCAAAAATCTACTAACGATTTCCGCAAAATAAGACTTATTTGTAGCTCTTCTTTTGCTGCTCTTTTTTGCTCTATAAAGTGTCTGTCTATCTTTTATTGTTTTCAAGATAATAGACAAAAACGCAAAACATTGATAAAATGGTCATCAAAGAGAAATAACTCCAAAAGGAAGTTAACTGGCCGTTTTGGTCATGTTGACCTATTGTAGATTTTGTCTAGCTCATCATTTTACAACTTAAAGTGTCTCTTGTTCTATTATAGTTTTTGAAATAAAAGGCTTAAATACAAAAAATGGTAAAAATCGTCTTTGAAGACCAATAAGGAGTCAACTGAAGATTTAAGTCATTATAATTAATTGTAGATGTTGTTTTGCTGATCATTTTGCTTTTAAAAGTTTTCTATCAATCTATTATATTTTCACACATATTAGGCACAAACGCAACAAATTGATACGAATTGTCATTAAAAGGATATATTATCTCCAATAAACAATTGACTGACGATTTCAGCAATACTTGACTTATTTGTATATTTTGCTATGATTCCAAGATTCCCTCATTTTATTACAGTTTTCAATATAATTGGCAAAAATAAAAACAATTGGTAAAATTCGTCATTTAAGCAATAACTCCTACATGAATTCGTCTGACAGTATTAATGTAAACAGACAGTAGGTACATTTGTGCCCTGTCAGATTTTGTCTTTTTGTAGCGGTTTTTAAGATGTTACACAAAACTTGCATTTTACCCCTATATACTTTTTTTAGCAATGTCTGCCATGTTAGTTGTCAAGTGTGGTTATCAGACACATTTTAAAACAAGATACACAAATAATTAATCTGACCAAGTCCGGTTAAATTTGGCCCAGTATTTTCAGAGAAGTTGACATACGACGACGAAGACAGCGATGATGACAGACGACGGATACCAAGTGATGACAAAAACTCACACTCGTCCATTGGACGAGGTTAGCTAAAAATCATGGTTTTCTTCAGTCTAGAAAATAATAAATACCTGACTGTAAATAAATGTATTCACTGAAAACAAAGATCATCTATCAGTAAAATACTGCAAAATGATATGGGTGCCATATGTGGAAAAACTGCTAACCTCTTACGAGCACTTGAGATCGTTTTCGTGTTTAGTCTTTATTTTTGTATGTATTGTTAGGTAGGCTGCTGTTTGTCCCTTCGTCGTGTTTCTTGCCATGACATTCTATTTCTGAGTGTTTTGTTTGTCCCTTTGGTATCTTTCGCCTCTTTTGTTATCATATTTCTTCACATTTTTTCTCTTAATCAGAAATTGTATGAAGGCTAGAGAAATTTATTGATGTCTAAAAGAACTTTAATCACATATTGTATCTGAACTCCAAAAAAAGATTTAGTCCATTTATAAGTAAAATACAACAAACATATATTTTTGCAATTTTGTTCACGTAACTGTGTATGGATCAAGAAGGATCTTCTGTCTACGTTTTTACATTCCATAAATATTTGACAAAATTATTGTACTGTGAAGTACGTAAATACGTATCTAAATGTTATATTCTATAAAAGTTCATTTTGTTAGCTAAATACGGAAGTATTGTTGAATTTGGTCCAGTGTTTTCAGAAAAGAAAATTTGTGAAAAAAGTTCATGTCGACAGAATGACAGATGTCGGAAGACGACTGCCAACCTCGTTGATGTCCAAATTCTGTTCCACCAGTGGCATCATTGGTGCTGCTTATTTCACGACAAAATATTCTGACAAGTCGCATTCAGCAATGACACTATCTTGAAATGGAATGGTTGCATCTTGAATTCCGATTTAGCAAGTGTTCTGCACTTGATAAGGCTTATTTTATGAAGTGACATAAATCATTTAAAAAAATATGTAATTAAAACTACACAAACCCCTCGCCTTCACGATGTAAAACGGCGTTACGTTTGTTTGCGATCACACTATCATTTTCTATCGTATTGATAATAAAAACACATATTATTACAAATCCATTATCAAAGATAGTGTAATAGTTAAATGCAATAATGTTGACATCTACCCATGGAATAGTGGTAGAGGTAGGGACAGAGTTTTCATAAAATGGCCTTGAAATATGCCTTATATCAAGTTTGTTTATTAGTAAAAACTTAAGCTGGGTGTGTTGTGTCACGGATATTGGTGCAATTTATGAAAAAAAATATGAAATTTTATTTTCCTACCGTGTCCCTATAGCACTAAATTACGGACACCCAATCATAAATATTTGTAAAATTGAGAATGGAAAAGGGGAATATGTCAAGGAGACAACAACCCGACCATGGAGCAGATGCATTATTTGCTCTTAAACAACCGAATCATTCATCCAGTAATCAAAACTCCTGTTCTATATACATATAAATAGTTCATGATAATGATAGGTTTATACATTGTAAGTATATATATATTGACCATGTTTTGCAAATCTGCACCGTTTGTATACAATATACAGCGATCAGTTCATCTCTATTAATTGACTATTTCATTGTTACTTACATTATTAAGCCATGGCAATGCGTTCTTCGTTGTTATAATCATTTGATACTGGTGATTCGAATTTAAAACAAATATCTAAAATGAAATTTCAAAAAGTTAATTCTTGTTTATCAATATTAATATTGTTATAATAACTAACAATTATAATGTTCTGTTTATTGATGGAAAAATCAAATATCAATTTTAATTTCAGCATATTGGAATGATTAATGTATCAGCAATAGAATAACGGAATTTGTAAGAGGAGTCTCTGATGAATATGATACTTTATATGACAAGAAAATATGATCAAAACATTGGAAAAATTTAATTTTCCTAAAATAAGAGTTGCATAGTTTCAATCGTTATGCAATCACTGTGCAATACTAGTATTTAATAATGTTAACGAAAAGCACAAATCAGTTACATGTACCCTCTTCAGAATAACGACAGGGGCTTATATCTACCCATCATAGAATTCAAATCTGTTATTAAAAAACTTATCAAAGATACCAGACGTAGAGTTTTGTACTTCAGACTCACATTTCGTCTACACAAACTCATCAGTGGCACTTGAAGATGAAGAGCATAAAAAACGAAAATTCCAAAACGTAGTGCCAAATACGGCAATTGAAATATGTGCCCGGGAGTAGAAAATCCTTAGTATTTCGATTAATTGAATATTTTATAAACCATGATCATAGCAATGAAATTCCATTCCATTACAAAAAGGGTGACTAATGTGCTGGTGTAGTCCTTATAAACGTAACATCATACAACAGTGACATCGAACCAGCGGTTGTAAAAACAGAGATGCAAAACAATTCAAAAGACATAGTTTCCATAATCTTTTCCACTCCATATATATGTAACTATCTTAACCTTTGTTATCTGGTTTCACTAGACTGTACATCCGTTAAATTACTCTCAACAGTAATAAATGTAGAAATCAAATAATAAGAAGTATTTTGATTTTAACAGTAATTAGAACTTTTCTGTCAATTTTTACTTACAATTTCGTCGTTTATATAGTAAAACTATCAACACTCCAATGCTGACGAGGATCCAACTGGTTGATATAATAGTAGCAATTACTTTTTTCTGACTTAATTCTAAAAGACATTTAACATACTTATATAGCATGTATAGTATAGTATAGTATAGTATAGGAAGTGATAATGTATAAAGAATCTTTTTTAATTGAAGATTATATAAACATATAAAATTAAAAGAACAAAAAAAAAAAAAACTCCGCATACCTTTCGTGTCACGTTTAATTTTTATTCATCAATTGCTTTCCATAGAATACAATAACAATAAAGATTATTATATAGCATTTGGAAATTGACAAACGTTTATGAGTTTTATATAAAGTAAATCAAAGTTGTAAGAACACATTATGCTATCAAATTTTGAAAGTTTTATGCTTTTTTGATTTCTACAGGATTTATTTCGTTCGTTATAAAACGATATTAGGTTCGTTGTTACCCTTACTTAGATATTTCTGTTCATTCTTTAAATTAAAATTTGATCACACATATTGAATAATCTTCAAAATATTTAAATATTTTCAATCAGATCGTATATTGTGTAAGATCTGAAACATGTAACATGTGGTTTCTCGAGTATAAATTACATCTATAAAGACGGGAATGTTTGACATTTGTAAAAACCGACATACAGGAAGACAAACAGTTTACATGAAGGGTGGGACTTACTGTTTGTAATATACAACAAGTCGTAATGTGTTCATAATGAACATGATGAAGACTAATATACATATTTTATATTTACTTGATGAACAGGGCAAAGGGCTGTTAACCACAGTAAAGTTTGTTGTGCCAACTGTGCACTGGATTGAAATGTTTTGATAACAATTATCTGTCAACTGGTACTGAAACTGTAGATTTGATCTGTAAAATAGCCCATTTCTCTCAGTTGCCACCGAAAGGTTGCTTGTGATGTCGGAACCCTGCAAATTGTTGGAATTGGTTTATCGTTTTATAGTCATGACATAAATTTTTATTTGAAAGAAGATAGTATATATAAGCATTGTTTGTATCTAAACTCTTTGGTTTTATATGTGAAATTATCCATTTATATATCAGCGTCATAATTTTAAAATAATACTGCTAACAATTAAAGGTGAAGCAGAGCAAGCAATTTATCTATAAACACTGGACACTTTTAATTTGCAAAACACTCATTTGCAAATCCGCCGCCGCCTCTCCTTAGACCTATAGTGTCGTGTATATAACCAAAATGTGCGGAATTACATGGAATTCAATAACTTCATTGCTTTTCTGCGGTTATTATTATATATATTTTGTAATTTGATTTAGAAAAACATGGGATTTTCAATATCCCATGGGATACGGCAAATCCTATGGGATTGACCATTATCCCATGGGATTTTGGTTAAATCCCATAGGATTTTTTTGGGTCCCATGGGATAATTGTAGTCCCATGGGATATTTGTTGTCCCATGGGACAACAAAAATCCCATGGGACTATAATTATCCCATGGGATTTTTAATATCCCATGGGACAAAATAAAATCCTATGGAATTCAAATTATACATATACAGTAATGTGTATGTTACAATGAATTCTGTTTGGTAGTAAAAAGTTTATAATATATATATGAGTGTATTTCGGTTTTTTTCATTTTGTCACAAACATGTTTTTAATTTGTTTATATGACAATAAAGATTATTTTTATTTTGGAAGGTATGATAATATTTAAACTCAAAAAATAAAATCCTTTAACTGAAATAAAATGATGACATGTCTTAATAAAAGAAAAAAATATTGATTTGAAATCTTGGTCTTGTTTGTTTTATTATGAAAAATATAACTGAAAAAAATATCTCATATTCTGACTGAGTAAATTGACAAAGCACAGTTAATAGTTTACTCTTATCATGAGGTAAAGTTTTCTTTGTTATAGTTCCATTGCAATACATGAATATGCAAACGATTTGAATCTTATACCTTTGTGGTGTTCATAATATTACATTTATATTTGCAAATTTGTAAAATAAACACTTTTCCTGTTACGTTTTAGTTTTCTTGTTTCAGCTTGCTATGAACAATTATTCAGTCCACTATATAAGAGTCAAGTAAATAAATTATTTCATCCACTAGAATATTCCTACAATTCTTAGACAAAACATTTTTGCAATCTGTTCTTCAAAAATCTTCCTCCGTACATCTTTATTGGATGAAGCGATTTAAATGAGTGGACAAAGCAAGTTCATTTGGACAATAAAATACTAATATATTTTTTCATTCCTCTCTTCTTTCAATTGATAATTACGTTGTTGCATTTACATGATTAAGTTCTTGTGCATCTATGATCATGATGATATGACTCCTTTTTGTTTATAGTCATTATGTTGAAAGTTCCTCTTTCTTATGTAGGAAAAAACACATTCCATTTCAAATTAATAAAAAAAGTCACACTGTGTAGAAAAATATCAACTTTAAGTTTGCTGTTCAGTATTGACCTGTTGAATGATGATCATGAAAACCAAGATGTCTGACCTACAAATACAGAAAACTCAAAATTTATAAATGAAGAGAAATACAGCAACAATATGGCTATTTTATCATGTTTATGCACATTTTGATAAAAATTTCATTTGAATATTTAAAATTGTAAGAACTCTTATTTCAGTGCTTTGTGTCTATGGTTTTCATATTTAGTTCTTTTGTGTGCCTTGTTGCAGTCTTTTGAGTTAAGCCAATTGCAACAAATGTTTACAGTTTGTTCAAATGTTGTGCTGTTATTAAAACCACTGTCCCAGGTTAGGGGTGGGTTGGGTGCTTACTAAATGTTTATTTTATTAGTTGATATTTGCTTTGAATTAGCTGTCAGTAACTGAGAGTATTAATAGATCTGTATGTTGAGTCTTTTTTGTTAAAGGGAAAGAATAAATTTCCAGCCACATCCGGTCTATGTTTTTGGTAACTGTTTTTCTGCTTTGTTGCATTCTAATGAGTTAATAAAATTGAGAATGAAAACAGGAATGTATCAAAATAACCTGACCCAAGAGCAGAAACAAACCCTTTTCAACTGATTTTATAGTGTTTATATTGAACTGACACTTACACCACTGTCCTTAATTAGAGGAGGATTTGGCGCCAGCAAACATGTTAAACCATGCCACATTTTGTAAGTGTCTGTCCCAAGTCAGGAGCCTATTATTCAGTGGTTGTCAATTGTAGCTATCATATTTGTTTTTTGTTTATTGTTATGTGCAAAAATCAGGCACTTAGCTTTCACCTTTGTGGTGTTTCCCCCAAAGCATGTTTAGCATGAATAGACACCATGCCGTTTTTAAATGACGCCATGCCCTTTTTTAATTGTTTTACATTTGTTATTTCATGGCCTTTTATAGATAACTATGCAGTATAGGGTTTGCTCATTGTCGAAGGCTGTACAGTGAACTAATTTTGTTAAATTTAATGTCATTTGATCTCTATTGGAGAAAAGTCTCATTGGCAATCATACCGCTTCTTATTTTTATATCAACCCTGCCATATTTTGCCTGTCCAAAATCAGGAGCCTGTACATAGTTCATTGGTTGATGTTGATTCACGTCCATCATATTTGTTTTTTCATAACTTGTTTTTTTTTATAAATTAGTCTGGTATATTTGAAGTTTGAATTGATGTTTTTTTCCAAATTTTGTTTGTGGTCTCTTTTATTGATGACTATATCATGTATAGGGTCTGGGTTTTCTCATAATTTACAGGTCATCATTGGCCTCTAATAAGTAATTGCAATCCTTACATCCACTTAATTGAACTCTGGTGGATAGTTTTTTCATTTATCATATCACATCTTATTTTCAAAATAATCATTATTCAAGGGCAATACTTTTATAGAAGTGGACTTACCATTTAGGTTTTGTTGACGTCTGTAAATCTATTTTTGTTGATAATTTCTTTTGTTTATAGTTTCCCTTTGTCTTTAATGTTCTTGCCCTACACATAAAAGGGTAAACATAATCATTTAATGACAATAACTACTATTACATAATGAGTAGGCAACTGACAATTTTGGATCATTTGTATATCTTGTCTTGCTCATCATTTTTGCTGTTTAATATTATCAATATTCTATGAAAATGAGGTCACAGTAATATTAAACTTGGCAGACAGACATCTTCTTATTTTTATATGACACCTTCCAGTCATTCCATACACCAACAAGTAGACATATGCTTATAATATCTGATAAAATGAAAAAACCAAGAAAACTTAGCATTGACCAAAGAACCATAAAATGCGATCATGGTTATATGAATCTGCCAGACAGACATGCACACCTTATAATCGTTACATCCGCCAAATATAATTTACCTGTTGCTTTAAGCATACGATAACCTGACAAAACAATGCAAACTTTTCATTGACCAATGAACCATGAAAATGAGGTCAAGGTCATATAAAACATGCCAGACAGACATGAACATCTCACAATCATTCCATTCACCAAATATAGGGGCCTTATTCATGTTATTGCTTACAGTATCCGAAAAAACCACAAAAACTAAACATTGTCCAATGTACTATGAAAATAAAGTCAAGGTAAGATGAAACTTCTCAGTCAGACATATGCACCTTACAATCATTCCATACAACAAATGTAGTTGACCTATTGCTAATTTGAAAATAAGAAAATAGAAAAACTGACTAAAAAACAAAAAAAAAACGTTGAGCAATGAACCATAAAAATGAGGTCAAGGTCGAATAAAACATGCCAGACTAACATGTACATCCTTATAAATTTTCATACACCAAATATACTTGACAAGTTGCATACAGTATTAGAAAAACTGGACATTTTTACCTAGGAATAGTGATGCCATGGACTAGGAAAATTAGTCCGGGGACATAAATAATATTTTACTGACATCGGACTAAATATACTAGTAAGTTCTGTATCCATGGACTTTTATACTAGTTATATTTGTCTGACCAGACAATTTTTACCAGGACTAATTAATCTCTTACACTAGTTCTCAGAGAGACATGTCACCTTACCTTGACACATTATTCTGACTCTGAACAAACCAGTATTTGCTCTTACTCCTTAATAATACTGCGTGCTTAGGGGAGAAGCAGCAAATACCAACTTTAAAGTCTTTGGTTTTACCCGGTTGGGTTCAAAATAAACAACCTTCTGCACTTGAAAAAACACGCTACCACGAGACTAGGCAGTATAATATAAGGAGTTTACCCAAGATTTAAAGTTTCCAAGTTTTTGCAAAAACTGGATCAAAATCATCATTGAAAAGCAATAACTTTTTAATAAGATTTAAGTTTCTCTTTAATTATTACAGTTTTCGAGATAAAAAGGCAAATTCAAGAAATATGAAGAAAAAAAATGGTTAAAATCTGTCTTTAAGGCAACAACTCCTATGAGTCAGCTGCCAGTTTTGATGCAAATGGACAGTAGATTTTTTTTTTCAACATTCTGAACATTTCTACCCTTGTCAGATATTGTCTATCCATTTTGGCCTTTTGTAGCTTATTATGCAGTTTGGCTTTTTAGCCCATTGTGGAAATCTGTACGGTGACCTATATAGTTGTTAACTTCTACGTGTTTAGTTTCTGTTAAAGAGCCGTCACATTGGCAATGATACCATATGTGTATATGTTTTTTTATGTAGGTGTAAGGAGACAACCTTTTGATTTTCTGGTGGGATAAAAAGGGGAGACAGATTTTTTATCACCTGGCCTGGTAAGTTTTTCAGGGTTCGTAAGGATAGGAAACCCGGTAAATTGTAACAAACCACTGTGGTTCGACCATATTTGCCAAAATATTAGTCCAAAATAATTATAACGTCTTGCAAGGCTATTTTAACTTTTTTCTGGGCACGTAATAGTCAAAGTTGTGACTGAGTGCGGAAATATGAAGATAGATAGATAGAAAAATTATAAAGGGATATAACTGAAGAA